TAAAAAGTAAAAAAAATACTTTAGCAAATAAAAAATTGAAATAATGACGAATAATAAATTAATTAGAATTCATAATAATTAAATAACGAAATGATTATTAAATCAATTAGAAAATTGGAGAAAAATAGGGAAAAGTTGATGGTAATTAGAGAAAAGTGGATATTTCAATTGAAACTCTGGCATTGTCATATCTCAATAAGGTCTGCAACCAACTCGAGTAGTTAGATCGTTTATCTCATAATCCAGGATTTATATTTGGGGTATCGCAGGGGTTGTCCCCATTACGCCTTCTCTCACATCACCCTCTGTCATCTAGCCCTCGGGGCACTTTGCGTCATGACGTTGACGTTATCCTCCACCACCTACTGGCTATTATGAACCGACGAGGGCCCAGGGGAGATCCAGAGGGAGAGACAGACCAAGTGATCGTGCCCCACGCATTCCCCTTGATGAGAAAACATTTACGAAATAATTTTCTTTGCTCAGACGAATTTTCCGAGGGTGCCTTCACCATCGGAGAAGCTGCACAGCACTGGTTCAACTAAGATAAACCGATTACATGGGAGAGGTAAAACGAGAAACCGATTATCCGAGATTTCGGGGATTTTTCAGTTTTTTTTTTCTTGGAAAAATCGGGAGTTGGGAGTTAAATAAAAAAAATTGAGACAAAGTGAAGGGCATAAATTTCGCTTGATTCGCTTCGAGACAAAAAGATCCATTATTTATTTATTCCATTATTTGTTATTTAAAAAAATCATTATTGGATATCTCACTCTATTAAATTTTTTTTATTCAACTCAATAATTTCGTTAAATCTTTCATTAATTACTCCAACAAAATCTTATTAATTACCACTGGTAATTATCTTGATTATTGTATCAAATTATTAATATATTAAATAGTGAGTAAATAAATAATTCCAGGAAAGAAAGAGGCTGATTTATTTGTTGTCCTAAGTGGCTATTCCGACACCAAAAATTCGTGATAATTCGAAAGCTCGTGTCATAAATAATTAATACAAATGTCTCGGGTTTACAACGGTATCTTTTGATGACGATGCACTTGGGCAAAACGGAAGACAAATAGCCTGTAATAAGTCGATGAATTATGCCTGGACATGAGGGGTGTGTAGTGTGTGGTTTAACGAGGCACGAAGTAGTCTCAATTTCCGAAACGAGGAAGCCACCACGGGTGGTCCCCAGAGGCCCCCGATGACTCCGTGTCCTGATAGTGTTGAAGTTATGTATTGTCTCTCTTTCCTCTTCATCCCTCCCCTTTCCAACTTCCAGTCCAATCCCCACACTATCCTCAGTGTTTCAATTAACAAAATTTATCACGACTCATATTTCAAGCTTATCACATTTTCCTATTCTCACCTTTTCTGTATTCGCGTTATCCAAAAAGTCATTCTATGTACTGAGACATGTCATGTGTAATAACAATTTTATTCAATTGAATTTTGCAGTAAACAACACGGGGAATGTAGAAAAAAAAAATTGAAAAAATTGAAAAAATTCTGGATGATGTGATAATCATGATAAATTCACGAATTTGTGTTAATTAATAATTAGACAATTAATTATATCTGTAATGTGAGAAAGAAGTGAAAGAGAAAGAGGTAGTTGTGCATTTGGGAGGATTGACGTCTGACGATATCCAGAGTGTTCCCCTCCCCGAAGGAGCTCGACGTCTGATGGTCCGGATAAGTACTCCGAGTACTTTGTAATATTTTCCGTTGAATTGGAATAAAGAAAATAGTGGAAAGGGCTTCTTGCCGTGGTTTAGCTATTTTTTTTTTTGTCATTTATTTTGGGGGAATGGAGGGGCAAATTTATCCGGGTTACTCAGTCTGGTGTTTTGGCCCTATACTTGGAGGGTTTTGGTGGGCGTTACCCAACAGTGGTGGATACCTGGGGAACTTTCGCAAGCTCTCGTCCAATCGGCAACGTTTTCGCTGGAATGAGACAGCCACCGATAGGGACACCAAATGGTAAAGGTAAGAGGTAATACCGAGGAGAGGAGAGTGCAAAAGCTCTCTCCAAAGTGCGCGCGCATTTAAGGTGACTCCTTTCCACGAGGAAAATTATAACTTTTCCGGTGTAACTCTGCGCCGGAGTCAGGGGTTGCGGTGAAACTATATTGCAACTCTGGAGAGGAATCGTGGCACATCCATGCTCTACACTCTGCACTTTCAACCCCAACTTTTCACTACTTTACTCTTTCTCTTTTTATCGATCCAAGTTTTTTCATCTGCAGGTATTTGTTGTCTCTGCAAAATTCCCCCAAAACGTCAAATTTCCGTCATTCTGCCAAATGCCATTTTTTAAATCCTTAATTCTCCAGGAATTCTCCTTCCAGTTTATTCTTATATTCAATTTAATTCATAATTAATAACGATAATAATTAATAAAAATGACAGGCCTTATGATACGACCAGAATTAGAATAATAAAATAAATAAAATAAAATGAAACGAGGGTAAAAATATTGACAATCAACTCGCCTCTACAATCTCAGAATTACAAGGTACCTAATGATAATCAACTTGTGCTTATGATAATACTGGCAATTGCTAGTGAGTAAATAATTGGAATTTGCACTTAATTATTCGCTCGTTTGCGTTAATCAAACGAAAATTGGTACCGGGTGTAGGTGGTGTGTGGAGGCGGTATCAGAGGTAAATGCTCAACCGGTCAAAGGTCATGTTTCTATGTACGCGTGGGAGAATACTCCATTCTAAGTTCCTCCCGATTATTATCATTATGAAATATCAAAGTGCCTGGTATCACCGTTTCATTCTCTCACCTAGTGTAGGCGGAATTCGCAGGGAATATTTACCGATTTTTTTACTTGACAGCGTGGGATGCAGTTTATTGCAATTTCCCGGCTTTTTATAAGGATTTATTTGATGTTTGTAAGAACCCCAGGATTTGACAATCGGGGTAATCCCGTGGGTGGGGATGTTTATTGGCAGGAATATATTTAGAATTATTAATATATTTAGAAGATATTTATTTAGAAGATTTAATATAAATATGGGAAATAATTATCGAGTGTTGACTCATCCAAACCGGAAAATTCATACAGAAAAATATGTACTTTAATCTAGTATATGTTATCATGGAATTTATGTCCTCGGAATTATTCTTTGCATCATTTAATTATTTATGTCATAACATGTGTTCATGAGAACTCATGAAAAATTAATTTGTGTGCATAGAATTAAATCCAGCAATTTAATTACCCAGAAAAGGAAAACTAGTTAAAAATAAATTTAAGTCAATTCCATATCTCTCTTTATATTTGCGAAAAGGATGATCAAAAATGGTAACACGTGTTTTCTCCGAAAAAGGAATCGTTAATAGTATTTTAAATTCGTCATGCGAAGAATTTGTCCTGTAAAAAATGAAAAATAGAATTTCCGGAAAAGCCATCATCATTTGTATGATTGTAGCCAACAATGCAAATGATTTGTCGCTCATTGGGACAATGGGTAAAATATGCGGTGGAAACCCGGGCGATGGCAGAATCGACCGGTTTCATCAGGTCGTAGTACGCCGCCCAGCAGAAGCACCAGAGCGCTTGCGCCTGTACCCCACATCACCAGGACCCCAGGATATGACGATGTGAATACACGAAAGCCGTAACATCCACCAACATCTACTAACCCTTCCATCGAGCCCTGCAGAACCCACTCAATCGTCGGGTGATCCGACATTATTCGCCGATCGTAGCAAAATCTGCGGCTAAAGTCCCGAATCAACGGGAAAGAAAGAGAGGATCAGGCTGGGCTAGTGGCACACACTCCACTCAGTTTTTAAGCCTTGACATGTTCATCTGAACCGAGGTAATAACGATTATATCCAAGGACTCAATCCAAAGGGAATTCTTTTCCCTCTCACTCATAACTTTCTGAAGTATTTACATTTTCCTCCGGACGATGAGATGTCTTGTGGCATCTTCAACGTTTTATGCAGGAGAATGCACTTTACGCACAAGTGCTTTAAAGTATTTTACGCACAAGTGCTTTTAAGTATTTTACGCACAAGTGCTTTTAAGTACTTTACGCACAAGTGCTTTAATAGTATATTATGCAACACGTGCGTAATATATTTTTTGACTCGTGGGAGGTTTGTAACACGAGCCGAAGGCGAGTTTTACAATCCCACGAGTCGAAAAATATATTACGCACGCGTTTCATACAAAATTTTATGTCATTGCGTGATAGAATCGCGTGATTACGGGGACCGATGGCATAAAATACTTTACGCACAGTAGATCGTTCCCAAAATTGAAATCTAGGGACAGATATTGGAAGCTCAACTTATCAAATGAAAAATACGTACATATGTATAAAGTAATAGGCTCCGGTTATTAATGTGGGTAGACATCCTGGTGGTGCCCTGACGAGAGTTTATCCGGTGGGTGTGGGAGGGCAATGGTTTTCCGATTAAACGTAGAGTGTTATTATAGTGCAGATGAGACAGTGCAAAGGGGGTGGGTCCACTTGGATGCCACCAGCAATTTACCATATGGTCTAGTGTATATAGTGTTCCTTTTACAACCGGTGGGGGTTTACCCCGGCGAAAGCTATCTAACGACAATGCTTAATTAACGCGTCACCATTGATGAAGGGCGCCGACGTTTGCAGAGGACTCTAATACTGTTGGGGCATAAGCAGATGAGAATTCGGCCTTCTAATCCCTTCTTTCATGATTAAATTTTCCTCCCGGTCATTTGTCTCTTGAAAACTACTTCAATACCACAATGCTTTTCAATTAAGCTCCACTCGTTTTGGAGTCGTCAATCGATTTTACAATCAATTTCAAACTGCTGGGGTGAACTCCATAATTACCTGCAATTGATTTTCTATATGACAATTGATTAATTTTCCAATTGATAAATTAATAAATTTTTTAATTGATAAATTGATAAATTAATAAATTTATGAATTGATAAATTAATAAATTGATGAATTGATAAATTAATAAATTGATGAATTGATAATTAATAAATTGATAAATTGATAAATTGACTTGAATTTCAAATTAACGTAATTGAAATTAAATTTGAAATTGAATTTGAAATTACCTACAATTGAATGGAATTACGGACAATTCTTATTTATGATAATAACAATTAAAATTACAATTACAATTTTGAATTATTGAATTTATTGATTTCTCTGAATTTTCCCCTCCGACTTGATGAATCTCTCTGTTCCTTGAAAAAAATCCCCATGATTTCACTGAATATCTACTCTCCCCCGGCTTATCCACAACAATGCACTAGCTCCAGCTTCCTCATCGAGGGAGACTTCTGATTGACGGACAGCTACTTGATATCACATTGGCGAGGCTCTCCGAATTGCTCCTTTCGATTTTTCAATTACAATCACGTCAATGTCAGTTATTTTATTATTCTCCCAGAAATATTGAAGAATTCTACGGACACCGGTGAAACTTTTCTGACGGCACCGTTCACTCTGAGAAAAATATTCTTTCCACAATAAATAATTTTCCAATAAAAAGACACTCCTTCATCTAATTAACAAATTAATTTATTCAATTAATTAGGCTAATCAATTCACTCAGCTGATTGAACAATTATTTACGTGATATAATTTTTTGCGGAGTCATAATTTAATGCGAAATATTGCGCGAAATCTCTGGATTTTCCGGACGCGGAATCGTGCGGAAAACTGATATTTTCCGGATCCCGAATCGTGCGGAAAACTGATTTTTTCCGGACCCCGAATCGTGCGGAAAATTGATTTTCCGTGGCGTGTGTTACAACAACCATTTACACGAGAAATATTTCATCTTTTTCATCTTCATCTTCAAAAAATATTTTATTTTGTCAGAATCGTTTTTTTTAGGAAAAGAATTTTTGGAAAAGAAGCGAATAGGTAGAATTCAGAGAGAAAAACCGACGAAACCATTTTCTCGTGTTAAATAACTCGTTTCTGGACATCTCGGAAGACTGCGTAGAATAGACGAAGGGGAAAGCCCCAGTCTGGGGTTTCCGTATCCATCCGATACGCGTCATTGACCGCGAATATAACCGTCCCCAGTGATATTCCCTCTAGCCCTTTTCATCTCAATTCCACCCCCCGTGTGGGGTTCTATTCAACCCCCCGCACCTTTGAAAAATCCGGTTATCACGCTAGCATCAGGAATTAACGATCATTAATCTCTTCAATCACTCAGAGACCGTTTTATGTTCTGATTTGAAAATTCCGACCAATTAACGTTTATTTACATATTAATAAATTTTTTTATTGATGAACAGGTGATAAACAATCAAGAGAATTCTGAGAATAGAATTTAAATGTTAATTTCTAGGAATTCACAGGGAAAGCTGAAATTAAAAATAAATTTACAGCAAAAATTACCGGTTGCGAGAAAAATTGACGTCCGAGAGGTCAAAATATGGAATATAAAAATAAATAATAATTATATGAATATTAAATACAGAATTTCTGGTAAAATAAATGTCTAGGGAAATTTATGTCTTGTCTATTTTAATGGAGGGGATTATTCCTAAAATTTGTCATTGGACTCGCGTTTTCCAATGAAAATGGCGGATAGAAGTGTTGTTGAACCAAGTGTACCTCAAGATAATTTTTCTCTTCAGTACTGAATGATATTTCCATTACACGTAATGTCTGTTGCATAAGAGAATACATTGTTTCCGTGAACAAGAGAATTTCCAGGCAGTCCCGCTCCATTATCAGCTCCACGTAATTGTTTCCTCACGAACGATTGAACTCACGATTAAGATAGACGACACCGGGTACACATTCGTCTTCATCTGAGGGTAGCAATTACGGTATTACACCTAGATCATTCGCGGTGGATTGAAAAGAAATTACCGTCCAACCTCGAAGGAGGGGGCGTAATTCATGCATCATTCAGAATCACCTGAAGCTCGGGGAATCCATAATTTCAGTATTCCCATCACGAACTCACTTAGGTAACCCACCCTTCATTAAGACTTTTTTCCGTCGTCAAACACCGGGAAAATCTCGGCATATTATATCTTTCCTTCGTACATAAACGGGGGAGAGAAAATTTAGAAAAAGAAAAGACTCAGATGAAAATTACAAAACGCACGAAAAAATTCTGGGAAAATCGGCGAGAGGAGAGATAGCGTGGACGATCTGTGATTTGGTAGAATTTTTAATCTCACTTATCCCTAAGAATTATAAAAATTTCAATGGAGACGAAAATATTGAATTCGTTTAATTTTCTTGGAAAGTGGTAACCTACCATAACTGCAATTTTATGAATAGCAGTTTTCACTGAATATCTCGATATTCAAGGAAGATAGCGATATTTTCGTAAATATCTTTTTCGTAGCTCTCGTCTTTCCCCATAAAAAATGTTAGAATAAAAAAATCGCTATGTCCCTTCAATTCCGGGATACAGCCTGAAACCTGACCTGAAAAAATGCACTTCTCGTATTGTACCACTTCGCTACAGAATTCATGGATTTTTATTTAAAAACAAAATGAATAAGAACTCACGGTGAATCTCCTGCACCAGACGCTGAGCCACTTGATATCCCTGATCTTCTTTCCAAGTGGTAGTCTGAGAATCACGTCAGTATCGTTGTAAGCAGTGAGAACTGGTGGATCTCTGCAACGTAGAGAAAGAAAAATAACAGGCGTACAAATAAAAGTGATTTCCCCCTTTAAAGTCTGAGCATTGGTGAAAGCGAATGGTTTTCCGATAGCAATCACCCGGGTGACGAGGGTAGCTGGAAAGGCCTTGAAATGTTTGCCCAGAGTGAGGGTGCGGCTGGAGATCGATCTCTCATCAAACTCCACCAGAGAAACATTTGGCAGTGAATTCCCAGGAGTTGTCGAGATATTGAAAATAATATTTCAGGGTTGACCTTACCTGCCAGGATAATCCTCAGGGTATGGGACAATATCGCCCTCAGGACTGGGTCTCTGGCTGTCACCGATCCAGAAGAAGGCATCCGGACCTGTACCATCGTAGGAAAATCCCTTGATAAACATTGTTGTCTCATCGATGGCGTAAACTGTCCCTCGGATTCCGTGGGCATAATTCTTCAATCTTCCAATCTCAGCTCCATAGTAATCCCTACGTCTCTCCCTCGCGTGCCCTGAAAAAATCCAATTGAAACCCTCAATTTCAAGAAATCGTATTTTACGATTAAAGTTATCAAACGCAAATTACAATAATTCAAAGTCATTTATGTCTTCCATTAACTGAAAAAATCCTATTCGACAAAAATATAAGAAAATAATTAGTAATTGATAATGATTGATAATGATTGATAATAATTGATAATAATTGATAATAATTGATAATAATTGATAATAATTTATAATAATTCATAATAATTGATAAGAATTTATAAGAATTGATAATAATTGATAATATAATTTGTATTAGTATAACGAAAAAAAAAAGTGGCTGGAGGGGCCCATGGACCCAATAAGGGTGCGATGTGATTGAAGTTCGAGTAAAAAATTTATAATTAAAAATACTTGAGATGCTTAATTTCTCGAATTCTAGATGAATAGATTTAGAGGGAAACTTGGCATGAATTCACGTCCACTTTAACGTGACAAGCCATATTGGATGCTTTCATGCATTCATGCTCTTGCTTCTGACGCACCGATGGTCAGGAACAATGGCTCCGGGGAATGGGAATATCCAGTGGCATGATAGTTTATGGAGGTAACATCCAAATGGATGGTTATATTTTTTACCCGCGGGCACGATGGAAATACCGGTTTTTTGAGGTTTTCTATAATTTTGGGAGCCTCTCATGTGGAAATCAGAGGTTTTCAGGTTCAATACAGAGAAATGTGATAAAATTGATAGCCCGAGCGTATTCGGGAAATGAAAAATATCGCGATTCAATTGAATTTGCATTATTCTCAAATTGGATTGAATACATTTTTTCGTTCGAGTATTTGCTCAATTGGAAATTATCACATCAACATTTACCATTTATCATCAGTTTTCCTCAATTTGTTATCGATTTATTTAATTATTTTCCTCGATCTAGAATCACGAGAATTTTTATAAGTTTCATTACAACCTCAGGGCAAATTTTGTTTATTATTACTGTTCTTTTTTTTTCTTGGGTAATTGTCTGACGTGTTCTGCACTGAAATCACTTCGAGGAAATTCCTCTCCGTGCACGATCATTTTTTTCTCCAGTCAATCACCTCATTACTAGATCCTTCTCACATAAATAATAATAACACACGCGGTAATAAACGATGATCATTATTATTAGATCCCAATCACAGGCATAATTATTCAGTGTTCCCACTGTGAACGTCTCCCTAAAATTAATAATTAAAATCAAAACAAATCCCTCCGATTTCTTTTTAATCCTTCTTATCCCAAAAAAAATGTTAAATAATATAAAACCATGAGATATATCAAATCCAAAATAATATACAATAAAAACTAAAAATAGTTTCCAAAAATCGCTATAATATCTAATTTAATTGCAAATCAACAATTGACAATTGACAATTAAACATTAACACAATATATTGTAATGTTTAATATTATTTATATTATTATTAATATTTTTTTTCGCGCGCGTGCGGAAAGTCGCTCTTTTTTTCATTTGTATCGTTAAATAATTTTTTTTTCAGGTTGTGTATTGAATAGAATTTTTCAGTGACGTCGATAGAATGAGGCGTCATGTTGTTGGGAGGACATGCAGGGGGTGGAGGGAGAGTTGGATGATAATAACGTCGGACACGCGTCTCGCTTATCCCCTGGGGCTGTATTATATCCGCGTTGCAGGTTGTAACGAGGGGCGAAACGTGATGAGAACCCATCGAGTAAAATCATGCCCCCCATTCTGTCTCCCTAGAAACTCTTACTCACCCCATTTGCACCTCATTGTCATTTTTGTGTATGCGTTATCTGATGGGTGGTAGGCAAATGGCGAGTCTTTTGTCGTTATGGGGAGACAGCCTAATGGATCTGTAATAATCTCAGTTGATTATTCAAGACTGTATGAAATTATTTTAATGCACTTGCTCGTTTTTATCATTTCTACTCCAAAAACGAGAAATCAATTTTTCAATTTATTCAGGTTTTTTTTTTTAGCACATTTTTATTCGGGTTGTGGATAATTGGAAAAATTATTAGGTCAAAGTTTTTTATTTAAAAAATTGTAGCCTGTCGATTTTTTATACTTTGAGATTTTGGATTGTTTAAACAATTATCTCGGTTTGTATTAATCCTAGAGCAAATTTTCAAAATTTCCCTAAAATATAGAAATATGCAAATTTAAAAATATAAAAACATGCAAATATGCAAATATGCAAATATGCCACTAGAGTGATGGCGTTTTTTTGTTAATAAATAATTGAGAGTAGCAGTGGCATGAGGGAATTGTTAACAGAAATAAAAAAAATGCGGAATTTCCTCCACAACTTCTCTATAATAAATTGTTTATCAAACAAATCAAGAATGAAAAACATTAGATTCAATTCAACTGCAAGTTGTAATTTCCCACGGAAAAATATCTTTTCAGGTGGAATGATCATTCACGAGGGGAAAAATTTCCCTTTGACTGGTGGAAATGGGAGCATTAACGAGACTAACCGGATTCCCCTCTGAAAGAGAAAAGGTCAGATAGTTGGACAGAAGCTGCTCTTCGGGTTCTTGGGGGCTGTAACGAGTATATAGACTGAAAAGAGAAAACGGCAGAGGATGGCACACGCTGATTTTAATCAAGATATGGAGCCAACGGGATCGAGCCTCTCTAGGCTTATCGATTTTTCCAAGTGCTCATCCCGATGAAGTGAAGAGGGGCCCGTGGTCTTCGTCCCTTTGGCGTTAAGTAGACAGATTAATATTTTTTACTCCAATTATTTTCATCAACGTCAAAAGAACGGGGAAAACATCTAGTCCGCCCGCCATTGAAATATTTGCTGGGAATTCTTCAGAAAAGTTCTGGTAACCCAAGGCACTACAGCTGGACAGAAATTCCAGTGCCCACGTCGGTCATTCTAATTAACAACTTCTTCAATATTTTTTATACTGCATTTTTACGGAAATTGCTAGAGGATTTTAGAATTTTTTTATTCATAAATTTTGCTTTTAGAATTTTTTTATTGATAAATTCTGCTTTTAGAATTTTTTTATTGATAAATTCTGCTTTTTGAATTTTTTTATTCATAAATTCTGCTTTTAGAATTTTTTTATTCATAAATTCTGCGTTTAGAATTCGTTACGGAAATTCTAGTGAATTTATGAGGATGGGATTTCTGAATACCAGAGAATTCACTTGATATTAGAGGATTTTGAGTTAATGAAAATGAATTGTTAAGGAAAATTGATGGTAATCATTGGATTAAACATTTTTGAAGTTCTGTAATTGGTGCGGATGGTTTGAGGTGAAGTGAGCAATTGCTATTTGAATCGTCAAATAATTTAGATTCAAAGTAGAAAATGTTGGGAAAGTCAAACAGATGTGTTAATACACGGGAGCAAGTGCTGATGCTTTCCCAGGATTACAACCACTGCGTATCCTTGTAATCCGATCTGCTGGAAGTTTTGTGAGACGGTATATGTGGATCAAATTCTTTGTGAAGAATTCACTGAGTCAGAAATTATCCGGCGTATCCTTTCAACTCAGACCCGCAATACGGAGGGAAATTCTTTCAAAAAATTCTAGTATCGACTTGAAAAAAATTCCAACTGACCGTTCGACACTGGAAATTCTGTCGGTAAAAATGACGGAACACTGAAAAAAATTCGGATTAGTACCGCAAAATTTTTTTTCGCCATTTTTCCTTTTGTAATTACAGAAAAGATGTGTAATTATTTATTTTATTAATTATTTATCTCTGTACCGTGAATTTCATTAGAATAATTAAGAGATAGAAATGTCAGCTTTCCTGGAGCTTGGCGCAAGATTGCACTGTAATAGTACATCCGTGCAACCTTGTCCCTAGGTAGCAAGTCGATCTCAGGACCAGGTTTCTCCATAATTAATTAATAAAATCGTTATACCCCCCCAAAGAATATTTAAATCGACTCAACAATGTCTGTGTGCATATTAAATCAATTTTCACTCGAGAAAACTATTAAGACTGGACCTGATAAAAAAATTCTCCGCTTTCTATCAAATTGTTATTAATAATTGAGCAGAATTGAGCTCAGAGTTAAAAAAAAAATTAAAATCCAATAAAAAGGCTTCGCTCTGAACAATGGAAATGAAATGAAATAGGCATTAATCCCCGATGCAAAAAAATGTCTAGCGGGTGCCATCTAAATACCCCTAAAAGATGAAAACAGATCCGTAACTTAATCCATAGCTTTTGATCCGGCACTCACGGTAAATTGATCGAATCTTGGAAACTCAATCGTCACTCCCCTTTGGCACCGAGTGGGAAACTAAAACCCCGATATTTTCCATCGTTTTGCGAGCGTTAAGAGATTACGGATTTGGTCTGTGATACGAGAACGAGAGGATAGGGGATTGAGCCTTGAATCTGAGTGAGAGAGACGTCATCCCCGTCGGTCCTCCCTCCGTTTTAGAGCCATTATGTCGTCGAGGGCTCGCGGATTCGATCAAGGGAGGGGGAGGGGGGCGGTAGATAAGAGATGGAGAGAATGAAAAAGAGAAGAAGAGAGATGGAGGTGAATGCCGAGCTTGCAAAAAGGGTGGCCGTTGATGCGTACAGTACTGGCTGACTGCCTCCCCAAATGCATTAAGACTCAAACCATCCAACATCCACCCAACGTACCCCCGACATTCACCCAACCCTCTTATTTTTCCTCGATTCTCCCATTTATGCATACACTCGGAGAAAAATTCAGTAAAATATCGTGAACCTATCTGTTCGCTACCACAAATCGTTGTTTATATTAAATTAAATTCAATGTTTTACATTTTTCGATTTTTTAAAATAATAATAGGTATAATTATTATTAATTAAACATTTCCGTTCTTGTGATGCCCCATCACAATTTCGTGCCTGAAATTATTACCTGAATTTTCTCCGAAAAATGGAATAGAATTAAAAAAGGAAAATAAATAGGAAAATTCAGTTATAGATTCGTTATTTTAATTGGATAAAATATTAGTGTAGTGGGTAATTTTCCAGTGTCCTGTAATTTTTAGTGAATATTTCTCTGGTTGGATTAAAAGTCGGGGAGTGAGAGTGGCGTGGTTGTAAGTAGGCCATGGTTGTACGCTCTTTGCGCTGTTTGCAATTCTCGGTGCAGGCGCACCAGCTACCACTGGGTGTGGGTTCACTATCACTAAAATCCATGGCATGTGCACATGAGAGTAAACGAGAGTACATGGCCGTGGGCCATTGGATTGAATGCAATCCTCCGAGGACGCTTCGCGTAGAAATCCAGAGCAATTGCCAGGGACATCGAGGATCTTCGAGTGGACATTCCCACATAACTATTCGAAAAATTATCCAACCATTGCCGCACCATTTTCCACTAATGCTGTCGATGGGTCAAGTCTACTTTTCAAATCGTTACGTATCGTCGTTGAAGTTAAATCTACGCCTGCACACGCCACTCCCTTTCCTTTTAAGACTTTCTTCTTAATTCCGGAGGAATTGCTGATCAGTATCTATTCTATTTTCCACTGCTCCCACCATTTTGTTTTTCATACATTTCCTAAAAGAAGATTTTAATTGTGATTTCGTAGTTGCAATGGAACTGTGAGAACTTTTGCAATTGAAAATGAAGATTTAATTTATATTTCATTTAGAAGAAATGGAAAAGCCCGAGAGGGTATGTGTTGAATAAATAATAATTATAATTATTATTGAAAATACCAGGGGGAATGGGAAATTAGGGAAATTAGGAAATCAAGGAGATGAGGAT